CACTGGCATCTGCAGGCAGCACCATCCCAGCCCCACTCCTGCCCCCACAGCCCTCTGCCTGGCTGCTCCGTTCGCTGTGACGCAGCCCCTGCCATCCCTGCTGTCCCTGCACACACTTTGCCCCTTGGGGGCCACCCTGGCATGGGGGGCCTGGCGCTGTGAGAGGCAGGCTGGGACCAGGGCGCTGTTCAGGATGGATGCTCAGGCAGAGCTGCCAGGGAGGGTGGGATAAATGTGAGGTTGGCACTGGGCAGAGGCTGCCGGGTTGTTCTGGGCTGGGAGAGGTTGTGCTTGGCACCACCCAGCTCCGGGAAGCAGCTGGGCTCTGGGGAAGGAAGGAGTAAATGTCAAATCCCCCTGGATCAGAGGCTCCCCCTCCCTTGTTCCCACCGTCCGTCTGGCTCCTCTGGTGCGGGGTGAGGATCAGGGGACTCAGACCCGCTGTCGGGGCAGGGCCCCTCGGGAAGGCCACCGCCCCTGCCCGGCTCAGTGCCGCGTTCCGTCCGCAGGCATCGTCGAGATCCGGTCGGTGCGTGTCGGCGTCGTGGCCATCAGGGCAGTGCACACCGGCTTCTACCTGGCCATGAACAAGCAGGGGAGGCTCTACGGGTCGGTAGGTCGGACGTAGCCTCCCGGGAGGGTTTGGACTGGGCTCAGAGGTGCAGGGCAGAGCTGGAATGGGGGGTCTTAAAATGCCAGGGCCAGTGCCCAGGAGCGGGCTCCTGATTTCTCACAACCTGACCTGCACCCACGGAGCTCCTCTGTCCCCAGGGAGTGGGGAGGAGCTGGGTCCTGCCCTGCCCCATGCTTCGAGTCCCTGAGCACAGACACCCCTCACCCCCTTCCCTCTCCTGCCAGAAGGAGTTCAGCCCCAGCTGCAAGTTCATGGAGCGCATCGAGGAGAACGGCTACAACACCTACGCTTCCCTGCGCTGGCGGCACCGCGGCCGCCCCATGTTCCTCTCGCTCAACAGCCGGGGCCGGCCGTGGCGGGGGGGCAGGACGCGCCGGCACCACCTCTCCACCCACTTCCTGCCCATCCTCGTCAGCTGAGCCCCGCAGGCAGCTCTGGACCACCCTGTAGGAAAGAAAAATGAAAAGAAAAAAGGAAAAAAAAGGTTATTTTATTTATGAATATATCTATTTTTTTGCTATTTATTGGTTTATTTTTAAATGCACGGCGGAAGAGGGGTGTGGGAGGCAGATGCTCCAGGTGCAGCCGCGCTGGACACGGTTCTTCCCGCTTTTCTGCTGGGCAGAGCCAGCTTCACATCCCAGGAGTGTGGCTGGAGCTGCCGATGTCACGGCCACCACGTGCTGGAGCTCCTGATGTCACAGCCCCACCCACACAGCCCGGAGCTGGCGGCATCTCCACGGGGGCTGGGACAGAGGCTGCGGGGCTGGGACGTGCCGGCGGGTCCTGTTTGTCTCCATGTCCAAGCACTCATGGCAATTAAAACTGAGCTCGTGGTACAAGGGTGAGTCTTGGAGCACCAATGGTGGGACGGGCTTGGGTGGGGTGGATGCTGCTCCCACCCACGAGCAGACCCCGAGCCAGGACATCATGAGAAGGGATTGGGCCTGCTCTGGGGACCCATGTCCAGCCGAAGCACCTGGGCTGCTGACTCCCAGTTATGGGGATGGTGGCCAACCCATGTCCTGGAGGGAGACCAGCAGCTGTGCACCAGCCAGCCCCGGGCTGCTCCTGCCCTCATCATCCCTGACAGAGATGGAGCTGGCAGGCAGCCAGGAGCAAGGACCAGCCCCTTGCCCAGGGGAGCATGGCCAGAAATAGCATCCACACCTCAGCCTCCCAGTCAGGGCACGTCCCTGTGCCACCACGAGGCATCGTGCCTGGTCACTTTGTCACGTCAGACCTGAGCAATGGCCCCAGTGAAAACCACCAAACTCGTTCCATTTCTTACCCAACCAGCTCCAAACAAGTCCAGGAGGGAACAGCCACCATGGAAACCTTGTGGTAACTGTGTGATGGCTGCAGCAAAGGAAGATTTGTCCAGGTCTCCTGGGCTGCGTTTTGGTGACAAACAGCACAGCCTTCCCTCCTGCCAGCCCAGCTGATGGGCACACATGGGCTTAGCTGGGGACCTTTGTGCTGCCATCCACCTCCCTAGCCCAGGATCCTGCTGGCAGAAGCTTCTGGCTCAACCTCCGGCAGAGGATGAGCCATTAACCCTGATATTCCAGTCCTGAGATAAACCCTTGTCCCTCAGGCACCCACCCACCCAGATGAAAGGCGCCGCTGGGCTGCCCTGGCAAAGCCAAGGAGGAAAAACATTCCAGGAGAGCTGCTCAGCACCGGCCACGCGGCCCTGGCTGGCTTGGGAAAGCCTGTTTGCCATTCATGCCAGGGATGGGTCTCCAGTGAACCTTCCTTTATTCAAAAATGTCTCAAGATTAACACCAAAAGAACCACCAGCTTTCTCCCTCCCACGGGAGGCATGTCCCTTCCAGGAGCACTGAGGAGGGAGGGACAGGCCCTTGGGTAAAGCTGCTTTGAAACATCACCAGAGCCCTGCCAGAACCTCGGGTGTGGGGGAGACCAACACCTTCCCCACCCTGGCACAGGCCTCAAGAGCTGGAGGAGACGCAGGGGCCACTAGGCCATTGAACACCCCCTCCCCACGGACACCCCCACTCCTCCCTTGCCTGCCCTGGCACAGCCCAGCCCTGCGCCCCCACCTCAGACCAGCCAGGCCATGTGGAAGATCCAGGGTGACCAGGAAAAACCCCAAACCCTCAGGACTGCTGGGAACCCTAGTCTGGTCCCTCTTGTGCCTCCCACCCCAGGTACAGATGCAGGAAGGTCAGTGCCCGCTCTGGTCACATTCTTTTCATTCTCCAACCTCCAGCTCTGTCACAGCAACTGAGTCACAAACACACCTGGATATTTGTCTCTTTCTTCTTTTTTTAATCGGCTCTATTTTAAGTAGCTTTGAAGTACATTTTTCTCCAAAATGTTGTTTTTCCTGTATATTATTGGATCACAATGGTATTTGGCTGGTCCTTGCTCTGATGCACACCCAGTCCCGACGTCGACACAGGAACAGTCTGCTCTGGCCGCAGAAAGGGCAGGACTGCAACAGGGAGGTGTAAAAAATACAAAAGACCAGGCCAGGAAGCTTTCAGGTGTGACCGTGCAGCCAAGGGCCCACGGCTCCACAGGCTGGCAGGGTGCAGGTCAGAGCAGAGCCTGGTGCTGGTGCCGCTCCCAGGCAGGAACGGGGTGGAACGGGACGGCTCCAGCTCCGGCTCCACAGGCAGCCCCACAGAGCTGACCCTGCAGGTTTCCTCAAATCATGCACGATGTCTCGCTGGGCTGTAACATCCATTTATTTAACAGCAGTAATAATTTAAAATTATAAAAACCCTTTCAGTGTAGAGTGGCAGAAGGGCAGGGTTATAAAGAAAACTAAACGGGAGTCGAGATGAGCAAGGGAAGGATATCGGGGTCTATGTCCAGAGTTCCTTTTTCAGTGACAACTATTGGCCCTCCCCAGCTGGAGATCCCAGGAGGGAGGCAGGATCATCTTAAAATACTTCAATCTCCAAAGCAGAAGAGACAGCATCCAAGGGGAGGAGGAGGAGCAAAAGAGAGAAAAGGAACCTCAAATCCAAAACCATACAAACAACCTTTCCATTCCGAATGGCAACCACTGGCTCAGCACCTCGGTCCCGCTGCGGGCGCAGCGGCCGCCACAGCAACGGGCAACAGTCCAGGCAGCAGAGGGGTGTTAGTGACAGACAGAGCTCTCCCTCAGCACAGAGCTCGAGGCTTCTCCTCTCTGCAGGACCTGGAGTCTCCATGTCTTCAGAACTCAAAAGGGAATTCCAGGGGTGCTGCCTCCCCCTCACTCCCCCCTCCCTGGCTCTGCTCTGGAAGACCCTTTTGTTGCTTACGTTGGCTGGGGAGGGAGGAAGGGCAAGGGACAGGGCCCCAGGGAGGGAGGGGAACTGAGATTTCATGAGTTGTTCGATGAGTTTTCGTTACTTGGTGAGCTGGAGGAAGAGGAGGAGGAGGACGATGAGAAGTTCATCCCCGTGAGTCCCGGGGGGTTTGTGGCAGTGTTTTGTCCACTTAAGCTTTTCCGGCACACAGGACACGTGTCATGCTTTGGAGAGCAAACAAAAACAAAACCAGAAATAGGGGAAACAGCATTAGAAAAATGATGCATCAGCAGCACTCAAGGAAAAGTCTGGGATCACTCTCCTTCCTCTGATCAAAGGCTGCTCACACTTCAGCCTCATCACAAAGGTATGAAAATATTTACAGAGGAGACCAGCACCACCAGGAAAAACACCCAGGTGACCCCTTGGGCAGCACTAACCTGCTCCAGCCAGGGGACGATGCAGCCGTTGTGGAACAGGTGATTGCAGGGTAACTGCCGGACGTGCTCCCCAACTGTGTAGTCCTCTTTACACACAGGACACTCTAACCCAGAATCTGTTTCACAAAGGGAAAGCAGAGCAGGGCTGAGGAACAAAGACCCACACGCACAGCACCTGACTCAGGGTCCCATCACCTTCTCTCCCCTTCCCCCACTGGCTCTTCTGGCTCCTGCCGCCCAGCACAGGGGAAAGCTGTCTGCCCTGCAGCTCCTACCCCCGTGGCTGCCCCTTCACTGCCCTGGGTTTGCTCCACTCTTCCCTTCTGCCTTTTCATCTCTGTCCACACAGAACTTTGCCTCTCCAGGGCAAACCCATCCAGTCTACATTGCTCTTTTTTGTGTGCAAGTAGAACAGGACAACGCTTCAGCTTTCTCCCTCTTCAAAATGTTTTAAGCCTTGAAGGTACTAGCAGACAAAATAAAAACCCCGAGAAAATGTTACACAGAACTCTCACAGAGCTCTTTGTGCACGAGTCCCTGGAGGAGATACACATACCTACGTGTTCCTGTGTGATCTGGATGGTGGGGAGGGCCTGGATCTTTTCTTTGTCTGCTGGCGGCGGTCCAGTGTTTTCAAACTGATTTAGTAACTGAAAAAACAACAGGCCACAGAAGGCAGAGAGAAGATGTGAGCTCAACAGTGCTCAGAATCTGTTGATTTACTGACTCATGGGGCATGCAAACCCAGCAGCACCCATGCTGCAGACCCATCTCCCACCTCTGCAGTCCCATGGACCCCCTACAGAACAGGAGGTGCTGAGGGTTTGGCAGCACCAGACAGAGAGGAGACACTGTGACCACAGCAGCTTTACCTGTGTGATAATTGCATCCAAGCCGTTGGCACCCCACGCATAGTCCATGGGGTTTGAATGCAAGACACCCCTGTAAGGACAAGGACAACAATGAGGCTGGGCTGGGAGCACCAAGAGGAGCACTGTCAGATGGCAGCACATCCCCTGACTCACCAAGGACCGAGCCCCAGGTTTGGTATTGTTGTCGGTGCAATGATTCCATTGACCAGCTGCTGGATAATTCTGGAAGACAAGAAAACCAGGATTATGTAGGAATTTGTGTTTGCCAGCTCCCAGCCCAGACACTGACAGGGACGAGCAGCTACATGTGCTAAACACTGCTGGGGAAAATGAAAATACCCTGTATAAATTGCATCTTATGACCTGATTATTCATTAATAACGGGAAGTTTCAATATTTTATTTGTAAGGGGTAATTTCTGACAAAGATGGCAAGTGCCTCTCCAGGATGCAGCTAAAGAAACACTAGTCCTGTTGCCCAGTGTTTTCTCCCATTTCCCCTCACATCAAGTACATTTTAGGAATGCTTTCTCATCACAGGGTGAGGGGCAGGACTCCCAGCCACACTGTGCTCCATGGGGCAATGGCCACTATGAAGCCAAGGCCAGAGGCAGCCCAGAGGTGCAGGCTCCAGCCCTGCTCACACCAGCAAGGAAAGGGAAGGGGCTGGTGCTCGACCAACCCGCCCCAGCGAACAACTGAGGGGTTCCTGGCACGACCCGGGTGTTCTCACCCCTCCAGCGTGGGAACCCCCTCGTGGCGGCCGGCGCGGCGCGTGGCCAGGCGGGCGCGGGGCTGCCGGGCGCCG